CCCCCCCCTAAGCCACCCACCAATTTAAAGAGTTTGTCATGCATGACGTCATGACTTTCCAAATACAAGGGATTCCGAGTGGGCGGTTGACGGGTGGTCTGGTGTGGTTTTTTCCTTCTTTCCTACCCGACATCTATTGTCCGTATCTCCTAGAAATTCCTCTAATCTTCTACTCCTTTTTTTTTTACCTAATTGTGTAGCAAGTTCCGTAAAACTCGTAAAAAAAAAAAACAAGCTAAAAAAAAAATACGTGAGTACTCATGCTTTCAAAAACAGCTTGGTATCGATCCCCCATCCCAGCAGAAGCCACGCTGTTCCGTAGAGGCGCGAGAGAGTGCCAGTGTGTCCAGGCACCACGTGACATCAGATTTGCTATAAGACAGGCGATCATAGATTGCTACTACTATAGTGTTCCTGCAAGTGCTCCTTAAACTTTTCCCTGCAACTTTTTCTAGGACAAATAGAGTTAAAAACCACCAAGTATGAAGGTAAGCATAACACGCTACTCGCAACCAATTCTATAAAATGTACTTGATATCGATCTAATCTATATATTTAAAAAACTTTAAAAAATGTTGCTTCCCGCTTTGAGTTCGAGTTTGGGTAAAGAGAAGCACATCGACACAATAGAGGTCTTATAGTGCTGGGAAGAAGCACGATGGATAACCAGAAACTACGGAGGGAAAATAGAGAAGTAGGACCTACCCACAAGAAGCGCCCTCCAACCACGTGCCTCGCATCGCGCGTCTTTTGGGCGAGCTGGTGGTCGTTATAAACAACTATTGTCTTTGTGGTAGACGAGTTAAATTCCCCGTCTATGGCTCACACTATGAAGAAATGCAGTCGAAATTGTCCAAAAGGCGAACGAGTTTGCTACTGAGGAATTATAAAGTTCTATCTGCTCAGTGCCTAGTTTTGAGAACTTTGACGTAAAAAACGTTCGAGTCAAACTTTTTCGAATGTAATTCACCGAAATCTTGAAATCCACTCCGAATGAGCTTACGATTTTAATAGAGCAAATGGAACATTTGTGAAGGATGTTGACTGAATGAGCTACTTCTCGGATTCGAGCGCTATGGAAATCGCTTCATCACTCTTATAGGTGAAGTCTTTACAATTCAGAAGTATTAAATAATAATATAAGGCCTGTTGTACTTAAAGAATATGATATCAATAGAAAATCTGCAAATTTGGCCCTACTGTCGATTTTTGACTAATATCTCCATTTATGGGTCGTGAGAAGTAACTCATTCTGTTAGCCAGTATCAGATTTGGTTTCTGACCTCATGGTCATAGTAACTCAAAACGGCCAAACATGTCAGATAGAACTTTGTATGTCTAAGGTGGTGAATTGTCGAGGAGGAAAGTGTTTTTCTCGTGCAGATGAACAGCTTGGACAAAGTCATGATAATATTTATAGAAAAAAACAACACCTCAGGGGTTTGGGGTGGGTGGGGATGGAGGTGTGGGTTTGCACAGGTGATAATCTTAGACAGCTGGATGTCAAAGAAGGATGTACTGAGTTTTTAAACGGTTACGTAAATGAAAAGGTGGGTGGGTGGCTACAAGGTGGGGTCTGTTGTCGTGAAATGAGACGTGTCCATTTCCCCGAGACCGGATACAACATAAAAAAATCATGATATCCCAAACTTTGATCTAATGTAAGTGTAAGTGTTTTTAGGCCCCCGGCGACACAATTTGTGATAGGAGCTGACAAAATGAGTTACTTCTCGCAATCCACAAATGGAGATACTGACCAAAAATCGACAAAAGGGTAAAATTTGCAGATGTCTTATTGATGTCATATTTTTAAAGTATAACATGCCCTTTATGATTTCATAGTTATAGATATTAAAAACTTCACCTATAAGCGTGATGTATCTATTCCCAAGGGGATAGAATAGGAGAAGCTACTCATTTTGCAAGCACGCTTCACATTTAGATAATCCACGAGGTGGGCTTCTGACCCTGCCCTCATGGGCCAACCGAGGCAGAGAGAGAAAGAGAGATACATCATCCCAGCAGAAAAATCGAGATACTCGATAAAAATTTCTCCCCACTCGGGAATCAAATCTGGGTCTCTTGCTCGCGACAGCGTATCCCATGACCTCTCTACAACAGACACCGGCCCAAACTTTGATTATTAAAACGTTTGCGGACTGTACTGTAAAGGAACAATTAATACCTCGTGAACAAACATTATATACGAAAAACGACATATGAGACATTGATTAAAACCAAATTCCTTCCTTGTTTTTTTCTTCTACATGTATAACCACCTAGCCGAAAGCCGTGCCTTCTAAATGACCTATTTGTTTTATAGTATAGGGCATTCACCTCAAGCAAAAAACAAAACAAAAACAAAAACGGGAAAGCCCTAAGTGTCTTTCTTTTCCGAACTAAAAGCGCAAATTATAAATGACTAAAGTACAATAATACAAGCGCTTCGTTAGCTCAGACGATATGGAGCTGACGGCCCTAGTTCGAATCTCCAACATGACTTTTTCGTACTTAAGTTATATTGGGGAGTTTTCAAGGCTCCCAGCCCATTTGGTCTTCTTGGAGTTCGACGTGCCATTCGGAAGTCCTGTCTCTTAAATATCTTGATTTGAAAGTTACGTTTAACTTTAGACTATCCTATGTACTTGCAATGATAAGCTTTAAAAAATGAATTGACGCTTCGCTTTATTATATAAAAAAATCTCCTTTGTTGATCCTTGTACGGGAACTTTGGTTACAGCGGTATGCACTATGTATAGCCTTCTTCTTCTTCTTCTTCTTCTTCTTCTTCTTCTTCTTCTTCTTCTTCTTCTTCTTCTTCTTCTTCTTCTTCTTCTTCTTCTTCTTA